TTTTTTCCTTTTGCCATAAAAGACATCTTTTCATTGTACTGTAATTCCTCCCCAGGTGAGAGGAAACTCTGACCAGGTGTGTTGTATAGGCCTAGCGCCTCATATTAGGATCCCCAAAACTGAAGAGTCCAGGGAATGAACATACCACATCTCCCTTACATGAGCAAGTCAACCTTTTATTCCTAATTTGGGTAAAACTGCAAGCATGAGAAAAAACAGAACTTCCTATTGCTATTTTTATAGTCAGGTAATGTTGAAGTCAGCACTTAATTGTATTACCCATCAAAAAACCGATAATCTTTTATTTTTCTTCAGTAAAGAAAATGAGTTACTCTTTATTTTCCGAATGTGTAAAGCACAAATGTGATATAGTTATTTAGAATACAAAATACTACAAAATGAATATAAAGAATGAAAAAATGTATTTTTGCATGAAAACAGACTATTTACAAACTTGCTTAATATCTCAGGAAAAAAAGAATGAATAATCACATGTAATATTGATAAACTGTATGTTGAGCTAAGTTGCTGTATTTATTTGCCTGTTTTTATTTTAAGGAAGCATATACATGAAAAGAAAAACCGATCCAGGTAGTCTGAATTTTCTCTCGTTTGCTGCATAGTTCTCTCTATGAATCTGCAATTAACTGCAGTGAAAATGGGATTAGCACTCAAGTGAGGACCAAGCCCCAAGTGAGAAACTCCAGATAGAACACAGGAGTGGTTATCACCCAGAGGCAATAGATAAAAATACCTGGAATACAAGCATTTCTAAACTTGGTCCCAAACTGAAAAAGTTTTTGTGAGATGACAGTAGCTTTTAAACATTCATTTGACTGGCTATTTTAATTTTCCTTGTTAAGTCACCACAACAATTGCATGGGGGGGAATGGATATTTTTTGAAGAATTGCTTATTCTTTCCATTTTTAAAAATGAGATTAAAATATTCCTTTTTAAATATGCATAAAAGTACCTTAACTATAATTATATTTTAGTTGCTTTGTTATAATAGCATGCATATCAAATATAAAATGCATTTATGAAAACTTTTGTAAAAATAAAGATTTTTTGTTTCTCAAAGTTGCTTATAATTACTATTTTTATATATTTGTATATAATTATATAATCCCCTGATGTTAGTATATTTGATAATCATTGATCATAGTGCTTTTGGTAAACATGATATCAAGGTGTGTCACCAGTCTGCATATTCTTCATCCTCTGAAGGGTCCCCAGACTTCAAAGACTTCTGGTTCCCCAAAAGGCTCTCCTTTGCTTTGTACACTTGCTATTTCCAAATGTGTCCTGGATTTAAATCATTTTTATACTTTTAAAAGAACAAAAACTACTCAAATTTTCCATCATGATGGCCCTTAAACAGTATTTCCATAATGTCTCTTGCCCACATGCAAGTTAGCAGGTACGCTTTCTTAAAATGGTGTAATCTGCCATGGCTAAATTATGCAGAATCAACCTTCTCTATATATTTGCTATCCACTCCTATTTTCACAGCTTTTAGTGTAGTTGGCGCCACTCTCATCTTTTGTCTGGAATATTATTGTGCTCCCTTAATTAGTCTTCTTTTTCTACCCCAGCTTCCTCAAATTTCACCATCCACATTTCAGTCAGGGTGACCTTTCTAAATTGAAAATCTGGTCATGCCACTTGCCCGCTTAATATTCCTTCAATGACTTCTCACAGTTTCCAGGATAAAGTTCAGAGTCCCTGGCTCAGCACACAAGGCCCAGTACCTCTTCCTCTACCCTTCCCCCATGGAGCCATGGCTCTAATCATACCAACTACTTTTTGTAGTGCCCTAAAAGCATCATGTTTTTCGGTGCCTCCCTGCAGCACATCTGGTTCTCTTTTCATAGAATGCTCTTTCCTTTAATAGCTGTAACTCCTACCATTCATCTCTTCAACTAAGCTCAGTTACCCTTTTCTCTGAGAAGCTTCTGACATGGTCTACTGGTTGATCATCCCTCTGCCCCACTCACACTCAGACTGTGAGTTACTCGAGGTTGTAGCCCCGTTGTAGAAGATCTTGCCCATAATGGATGCTCAATAAAAGGCTGTTGAATGAAAATCCCCTTGAGCTTTTTTCGTGTGTTGCACAGCATTAAGACTGCAATACCTGAAGGTACATTTTATTTATCACTGCAATTTTTTCCATTCTTGTCAGCTAAGCAAAAGATAAACTGGTTTTCAGTTGGACCCAAGCCTGTGGATGGTACCACAAGTTGCTCGGTGGGTCACTCCATAAGAAAACATTCAGAAAGTTCTCCTCTGGACTCCAGGGAATCCTAAACCCACAAACTGGCTGTTTTCCAAAAAGCTTTCTTCAGAAATCTCTTCAAATTTTGGAATTTGATCTTCATGACTGTTCCAAACCTAATCAAACCCATTATTTAACTGAGAGGAAACACTGACAGCAGGATCCTGAGTCTATATTTGGGAGGAATACAAAAAGGAAATGGAAGAAGTTGATTTAACACTTATGACTGAATGCTTACACTGGCGTTTGTGTATTTAGGGATGCAATGAGGGGACATAGAGATATGACGGAGTTGAGATGTCTCTGCCCTACCTCACCCTTTTGTAGGGGACACATTTCCTTCCCCTTTCATAGGCTGTCTCTAGGTAAAGCTTTCTTTAAACAGACCAAGTCTGTCCATAATCCCTTGCCCTCCCCTTGCTACCAAGGGCTTCAAGTTCCTATCCTAACTCCCCCATCCCCTTCCCAGTCATGCGCTAGGAGGAACGAGAGCATTACAAGCACACTAGCCATGCAGGAGGCCAGTGCCACTTATGCCAACCACCTGTCAAAATGAGCCTCCCTACGCTTTACACTATAGTTTCTTCAGCTGAGGGGGCAACTAGATTAAGGACCCTTTTTGCTCAAGAGATCATAACAAAGGTGATTTCCAGTTTTGAAACCCTATGCATTAACTCTTATAAATCTTTACTTGATGGCACTTCAATGAATGTAATTCAGTACAGTCAGACAGAGTTCTAGGGAATAGGGCCACCAAAAGGGCAGATCAGCTTTTGCTTCAAGCTGTTTTCCTTTTTCAATGTTTCTTCTATTTCTAGGCCTAGGGCTACCAGGACCCAGATCTCCCAAAGATCATTCGAGAACTCCAAAATATTTTTTTCACATCAGTCCTGAAAGGGAGTGAGGGGAGCCTAGATACCTGGTTTGTAAACTAGAGACTGTTAGCATATCATAAATGTGACTAAAGAAAGGATGTTGAAATATGCTCATTGCTTTATATTGCAACAAAACTGTGAGATCCTTTGCTGAAGGACCATTTCTAATTCACCTCTAGTACCAGGACGTACCATAATGACTAATACAGAGTATGGTGCCAAGTAAGTATTGATTCAGCGACTCTAAGCACTATATCTAATCAGGTAAGAATGACTACCCTCTGTTCTTCATGAAGTTAAATTTTAATGATTCACATATATTAAATCAATTGTCATAAATGACTTTTTATAAGCAGATTTTAAATAAAAAATTCAGAGTGATCTTATAAAAATATTGTGGCTATGTTGCCAGGCTATCATCCAAAAGACCCTAATGTTTTTCAATACCTAAACTGTCACCAGCTATGCTTGCTTGCAGGAACTGAAAAGGACTGACTTCCACAAAGACCAAAGTACTGAGTGGAAAGACCAAGATGGCATGCGGCATCACGTGACAAAAAAGACCTTGCAAAAGGGCTGGGTAGAGGAATAACTATGCATGCCTGAAAGAATTTAATCAGTCCAAGCCAAAGCCTATAAATACAGAAGGCTCCTCCCAGTTGAGGACTAGGTGCCCTTAGAGCAGTGAGTGACACTTCTTCCTTCGTTGATGAAAGAATAAAATTTCTGCTCTGGTCTGCTTAACTCAGTCTTGTTCTACTGATGCAAACGGGCCTTAGATTGGATCCCTGACCCAGAAAAGTCGGCAACAGCTATATGTTTATATTTACACATGTAATATTGGAGCATTACAGAAAAGTCTTTGAGGTTCTTTAATTTCATCTCTACAAATGACATTTTTAATATTATGAAATGTCATTTTATAAAATAAGATGGTTATTATGTGCACGATATGCTTATGAGGGGAAGCCAGGTGGTTAAACCTGGGTGTATGAAGAGGGAGGCCATTCCTATGTGCCTCCTATTGAACAGAGCAAAAGAGCTGAGCCCCAGGGCACTAGGAAGGGTACTCCTGTGGAATTCTCTACCTCGACACAAGGCTGCCCAGATATCCAGGAAGTAGCTCCTGGGCAGGGACTTCTGGCTTCTGCTTGTCATTGAGAAGAAATTTCTGGAACCCAAGATTTTCAATGCTTGGTTAGACTCTCAGGTACCATTGTCGCCCAATTGACTAAAGTTGATTGCTCAAGAGAACACTCCCTGTTGCTTTAAGGTGCTTAAAAGCATATTCTTCTCTGACCTTTCTGCACTGAGACAGGCTGACCCCTAGCTAGATTCCCTATGGTCAGAGATCTAAAACTCCAACACCAATGCCTTACTTCAGTGTTGGTAAGGAGAGTCAGTGAGGCATCAGTAGCACATGTTGGACCTATCAGACTAATGAGAAAAAAGCAAAGGAGCAAACTCCTAAAGGAGGACGAAGGCTTTTTCCAGTAAGCTTCCCTTCAGTGTGAGGCGAGGGGCCTAGGAGCCACACTGGGCCACCGTGAAGTACGTAGGCTCTGTGCCTCTAGGAGGGCGGAGCTGCTGCCATCTTACTCCGTATTCCCAGAAGCCTCCGCGCGGCTTGGCCGACATAAAAAGGCGGGAGTGAGGCAGGCGTCTCCAGTCCAGCGCTGGGTCGGTCCTGCCAGCCTTGGGGTTTTCCTTTTTGTACTCCTTTGAGGCTATTCTGGAGGCCACCCGTTGACCCTGACACCCTCCAGCAGTAGCTCGATTCCTCAGGAAGGTGACGACACAGGCAGTGGCGGGCCAAGAGGCCCCCTCGACGCGTGGGGGGTGGGTGGCAATGTGGCCACGACGGGTCTATACCCGCAAGAAGAGAGCCTGTCCGAGGCTTAACCTGACCCCAACGCTGGACCTAGGCCCGTCTGCGACAGCAGAGGTCCCCCCAGGTCCAAGCCGAAGGCTCGCTGCCCAATGTAAGCCCTGCCAGAGAGGCCTGGGGGCAGGACCCGGGGTGCGCGAGCGTGGAGGCCAGGGTGGCTGGGCCTCGGCCTCAGGGACTCCTGAGGCCGGAAAGCCGGCCTCCAGGGCTTTTGTCCTGAAACGTGCCGCTTTCCTTCAGGCTGGAAAGGAAATGGTAAAGCGCTTGGTTTGCAGAGGATCATGGAGAAAGCGGAGCAGAGTGGCCTGGGAGGTAGCAGCTCTGGGCTGCCGAGGTGCGTAGCCACTAGTAATAGCCCCCAGGCCTTTTGGCCTCCTCACAATTTCAACCATAATTTTAATTTTAATTTTAATAACCTCACATTCTCAGAGTTAACGAAGAAAATAGGTAGAATGCTCTGATTTCTCTCTACTCAAACCATGGACCCAGAAATTTGACTTAAAATGTTTATATTATATAAATATGTATATAGAAGAAAATCTTGCCAAGTTGCCTAAAAGCGGGTGAGATAAAACCTCCAGGAAAGCAGTTGTAGCCTCAATTGGGTATTGGTACAATTCACCCGCTATGGTCCTTACCTTTTTCTGATGATGTCCGCAAAGAGTCTTTCAAGAGATTCTGAAGACTGTAAACGGTGAATAGAAATGTGTAGAGCGAAGTCCAGACAGTGCAAAGTAATTGTGTTGTTTGTTCGGTAGCTCTCAGTTACAAGTTACAGAAGAAAAAAGCCTGCAAGAAAATAATACTAGCGAAGAGACCCAGAATAAGAAGATTGCTCCATTGAATGTATGTATGTTTCTCCTGTGATGCTTGGATACACTTAGTGTACAGACCAGCAATACCTGATGTACCTCCAGATGAAAATATATATGGTTTTTGTTCTATATAGACTACATAGTTTTCTAATGTTTTTATAAACTGATACTGTGTCTTTAGGCAGGGCCTTGAATTTCTGATTCTAGTAGATTCATAGCTATGCATTTTCACTTTTTCCTTGACAAAAATTTGAGAAATTTCTATCACTGGCTAATTTTCTGCATGACAGATATAAAACATTTCTTATGTTTGTAATTTTCTTATGTTTGGTAGCATTTAAATATTTTAAAGCCATTTTCATGTTTTCCCATTTGACTTTCCATTAACTAGAAACAGAAGATTCATTATCATTAGAATATTATATAACTTCTTGATCTGTATTTCATATGGATTCCTACAATATTTTAAAGATGTCTAGCAGTAGTTGGAGAAACTTAGGTTTTAAAAATTGTGACTCATCTGACATTAACATTAAATTTTATAGTTATGTTCCAATTTACATATTCTTCTGTAACATGTTTTTTGGGGGAGGGCAGTTTCAACAAAAAACATTTTTTAAAACGGCTTTTACCCCAGATTATAACAGTGGTAAGTGTTTCTTGTAGATGATTCAGACTATGCAAAAACAAAGAGTTTAAGTGGTTTCTTCTAATTTTTGTATATCTTTCCATTATTTTTTTCTGTGCTTTTTTTATTTTACAAATTATTGTATATTCCTCTAACATTAAATAGTCTTCAAACATATAATTTTTAGTGTCTGCATAGTGCTTTGCCTTATAGGTAGATATACTATAATTTTCCTGTGGTTGGGGGATTGAGATTGTTTCCAAGGTTTTGCTGTTGTAGGTATTATTGGACATCCTACTGCAGAAGTTTTTTTGTGTATCTCAAACTGTTTTCCTAAGACAAATACTTTGCAGTAGGTAAAAGGTTAGATCATGTTTAAAGGTTTTGATTCATGTTGGCAAATTGGCATCATCTTACTTAAAACTTAAAAAATGTCCACACTATTATATTTTAATATTTATTTTTAGATTTAATGTTAAGTATCAGATCACATCCGTGATCAATAAGCTGAATCTGTTACACAAATGAAATGAATCTACAAAGTTGACATTAGTTTTTCATTGTCAAAATAACCAAATCAATGCAATATAATATAATATGAAAATATTTAATTTTATAATTTGTGTTATATCTTTAATTCTTATTTCACATAGGAGTCTGTGACTGATGACCTCCAAGTTGACAGTAGTTCATCAGATAATGAACTAGTATCAGGTGAGACTGTCAAATATGAACTCTCCTAGTATTCTTACAAATATAAGCATCCATTTGTATCTCTTCCATCTCTCCATCTCAGTGGAAGGGGTGTCTTCTAGTCCAAGGTGAACCCTTCAACCTGTGCTCTGGCCCTTATCCTCAAAGCTTTTAAACACATACCAGTAAATTACAGTCTCGATAAGTGCTATGAAAGAGAGATTGACTTTAGTGTAACTGATTTTGAGTTGGAGAAATTAGGGAAGGCTTCCATGAGGGAATGGCAATTTAACTGAAATCTGAAGAAGAGTAGAAATTAACTACACAAAAAGATTTGATTAAAGAGCAATCTAAGCTGAGGAAACAGCATGCACAAAGATGCTAACGTGGGACTGAGCATTATGTGTTCAGTGAACTGAAAGAAGCCAGTGTGTGTGTAAGTGCAGAAAAGAAGAAGAAATGTGATAATAAAGTAAAGTTGGACAGACAGAGGCCTTGCATAGCCTTGCAGTCCATGTCAAAGCTACTGGTGTTTATCTTTGAAGCAGCAGGAGGCCATTGAAGTCTTTTAAATAGAGAATGATATGATCACTTTAGCTACAGTATGGAAAGAAGCAGAAATGGATGCAGATAGACCAGTTAGGCTATTGTAGTAGTTTAGGGGAGAAACGATAGCACTTTGTAATAAGGGGTGACATTGGAAATGGAAAGAAGTGGACATATCTGATGGCTAGTTTAGGAAGTGAAATTGGCAGAATTTTCCAAGTGAAGAGTGAAGGAGTTGGAAATATCAAAGATGACATCTGTTTCTGGCTTGCATAATTGGATATATAAGGAGGTGTCATTCACGTGAAAAAAAAAATTTGAGAGAAAGATCATAAATTTCATTATTCATATATTAAGTAATGGGTGCCTTTAAGATGACTAAGTAGCAATGTCAAATAGGCATCCAGGTTGTTGCTGATAGAAATTTGTGAGCCACCTACATATTGGTGTAATTGAGTTATTTTTAAAAACAATTAAAGATGCCATCAGCATGCCAGAAATACTGAGGAATTCTTAAAAGCAGATGAGATCAGATTAATGAATATATCAAGAGCAGAGAAAAACCACTGCAGAGGTAAGAGTAGTTCTAGAGATGATTAAAATGCTTGGTCAATAAATGCAACGACAACAACAACAAAAAACTATAATGGAAGCGACTTTAAAGGAAGTGTCAAGGTGATGGATTAAGTACTACATTGTGGCACTACATGACCTGGTGTCCTTTCCACATTCCCTTCTCATGTTGAAAACACTGGCAGCTACCAGTACCTGTTGCCAGGATAAAACCCTGGGAACTACTCCCAAGCAAAGTGAACTTAGGGGTTGGCTCCTAAGGGTCAATGTTGGGGCTGGAGTGAGAAACAGAGGATAGTGTGAAGTATCTCCAGATTTCTGCAAGGATAGCAGAGAGAGAAAAAAGTAAAAGAGGTAAATTATGTTTGTGCTTGTTAACCCCAGGACAAAGATATAGTCTGGCTCTCTGAAGTGGGAATTCTGATACAGGAGACTTCCAGTATGGACACTAGCCAGACAATTAGGGCAGTGCCCCCATGTAACCTATAATACCCAGAAAATAGAGGGGAATATCCCCATCTAGAACATAAGTTCCCTGAATGTCTCATCACTCTTCTAAAATCTCCAGAGTTAGGCTGCAGAATTTATACTCACAGCCATACAGAGACTCTCAAATAGAAATATGACCAGACAACCAGGAATAGCGAAACTTTTGAAGAAAACCAGTGCCATGGAAGAGAGGCAACAAATGCAACAAATGAAAGGACTAACACTGAGAAAATGGCGGAAAACTGTAAATATCTCTTTAGAGACAATAGGCCATTGAATTTATAATATAACAGCCTACTGTAAAAAAATTATAGTCCCTGGTAACTGAAAATAAAAAATTAAAAACTCAGTAAATTCAGCTGAAAATCAAATTAGCAAACCAGAAGATAGGATAGAGGAATATTTCCTAGAATATAGTGCAGATGAACATGGGAGGTGCCGAACAAATGCTTTTTTCTCCTTCTTTCTCTCCTTTTTTTTTGAAGGGGGTCTGGTTAACTCCTACTTTTTCTTCCAAAATAAATTCAGGTGCCATCTCTCTGGGAAGCCTCTCCTGACTTCTCTTCTCTCTTTCTAGATGAGTTGTCCCATCCTGGTAGTCCTGTGACATTGTGTATACTTCTATCATAGGACTCAGAATAGCAGTGTAATTGTTTTTGTTGCTCTTGGCTATAAAGCCGTTGAGAATAAGCACTACTTTTTATCTTCCTATCCCATACTTGGGGCATAAGGTAGTTTCAGATGCTTATTGAGTGAGTTTTGTACTCTATTTAGAGAAAATAAACCATTTAACCATAATCAGTATTTTCTAATATCACTTAAATATATGATAAATGTCCTTGGTTACTAGATTTATCAAGTTGATGCGTGAAAGATATAAGGAAATAGAAAATAGATTATCTCTAATTTACGAAATAGTTGTATTTTGGCTTAACAGACAAAAGGGGGAGAGGGTGCCTAGAATAAGAACAAACAGAAGCAAACTGACTTAGGCAGTAGGTTCAGGAATTAGAGGATCACATATTTCTGGAAAAATGAGTATAGTATTGAAAATAGGAGAATTTTTGGTAATCTTTAGAAGGAGCAGTTAGATGCTTTGATCCCCTTCCCCAACACTGTGTAGCCAGGCAACCACTCTTTTTCCCACCCTGGCATTCCAGAGACATTGAAGCAGAGATTCTGGACTCAAGGGTGTTTTGTTGAAAACTAAAAGTGGGGGTGAGGGGAGGAGGGATAGGAATTAGTAAAGTCTGTATACTTACTGTTGAAACTGCTATTTGTTCTACTCAGGAAGATACACTCAAACTTGGAGACTGATGGGGTTATTTTGAAACTTCTCTGCCCAGGAGAGGACCTATATTCTGGCAGTAATGACCTGGTTCCTGTATAAATATCCATCAGTAAAGCTCACTACTTCCTAAACTCCACTCATGAATCCAGAGTTTCCAACTGCCATTTTAGTACCTCATTCTTGAACATTCAAGAATTACCAGACATTTAAAAAAATAAAAGATAACAAATACAAAGAAACTTGAAAGACACAGACAATGCAAGGAAAAGAAAAATTTTAAAAGCCATATTTTTATTATTATCATCAGGATGATGAAAAATGTCTATGAAACAGATGCAGTCTACTTTAAAAAGGAGCATTCAGAGAACAAAAATAATCTTAAAAACAAAAATATTAAATCAGAAATATAATCTATGAAGAATTAGATGATGAATTTAAGGAAATATTCTAAAAGTTGAACAAACATTAAAGAGAAGATGAAAGATAAAAATAGCATTGGGGACACAACTCTAAGTATACGGAAAACCACCAAACTGTACACTTTAAAAGGTTGAGATTTATGGAATATGAATTTTATTTCAATAAAGCTGCTATATAAAAAATAAAAATAATTAAATGAGTCCAGGCATACTAACATCTTGAAAAATAGTAGTTTCATACATTGTAAACAGAAAGGAAATTATTAAACACTTAAAACTACATATCTTTCTGGAATTAAAAAGTCATGAGTGTACATACTGAAAGAGCCCACCAACTGCCTATTACAATGAATGAAGAAAGCCACACCAAGGCACAACATTTTGTAATTTAAAAATCCTCAAGACAAAACCTCAGTCTTCTAGAGAAGTAATTGTTGATTGCAAGTAAGCAATCAAGAATATGAATGGCATTGTACTTCTCAAGAGCAACTCCAGAAGCTAGAACATGGTAGAAAAATGCATTTAAAATTCTGAAGAGAACTGATTTTTCAGAGACAGGATAGGTCCCCACCCAAAATTTGGTTTGGAATTCTACACTGATGATGCCACCCACATGCCAAGAGGGAATGGAAAGGTTTATTATTCATGTAATGAGGCTTTCTGGAGAAGAGGGCGTATCCCAAGCAGGACTGTAAATGACTTGAGAGAAAGGAAAGGAGACTGGGTTGGGGTTTTTATGTGGTTAGAGGATGGAACTGGGATGAGTTTTCCTGAGCATGTTTTTAACTCACTACCATTATCAAAAGATGGAGCACCAGGGCTTTCTTACCATCTTGCCCAGATCAAGGGCAGAAGGGGAAGGGGGAACAGTAAGGTTTAATCTGTCAAACATCAAAAAATGGAATCAGTCTTTTTAATATATTAGTCTAGAATTCTGTACCCAGCCAAACAATCACTCAGGTGTGAAGAAAGTATAAAGGAATTTTTAGACAGGTCTTTCATGCAACTTTTCTCAGGAAATGAAGATACTCCAACAAAACCAGAGTAAATCAATAAAGAAGAAATCATGGTATCCAGGAATCAAAGGCTCTAATAGAGGAAAAATGTGAAAGAATTTCTTAGGATAATGGTAAAGGGAAACCTTCAGAAGACACCTGTGCTGCATGTCTAGAAGACAACCAATCCAAATTTGAGCAAATGTATTGAGATCTCTAATTGCAATACTTTTTTTTTTAAAGGAAAAAATAAGGAAGGAAAGAGAGAAGAGGCGAAAGAGACAGAGAGGGAGGAAGAAAGAAAAAGAACAAGGAACTGATAATCTGGTTTTTTTTTAAGTACTGAGAGGAAATTTATACTTTTTCAAGAAAGGAGATGAAATAGTGTTAGGTACTTAGAAAACTAATTTAAAATTAGATAATTGACTCCAAGAAAAAACAAAAACTTGTAGCAAAAAGGTGATTGATATAGCTCATAGTACATGGCTCAGCTGTAAATACATTTGTAGTCATAATAATAGAATTGTTGCATACATTTAATTTAGAAATATAAAGGTAGATATTAAAAGAAACAGTTAATAGACTAAGTTAAAAGTAGTTGTCTCTAGAGGATAGAGAATTATGGAGTGGTATGAGACAGATTGTAGTTTTTGTTAAAAACGTATAACTATTTGACTTTTTAAAACTGTATAGTATATTTTAATATAAATGTAATTTTAAATGCATTTATATTTATAACTTGTGACACCATGCACAGCCTTCCACTGATAATAGCCATGCCACATTTATTTATTTTCTCTACCCAACAACCCAGAAGATGAGCCTGAGGCTTTCCTAAATTCTGAGTCTGAGTTGAGTTCTGAGGTTTAGTGGAAAGGATGGCTCTCCTGTGAGTGGTATTCATGGAATTTTGAGAGATGGAAGGCCAGAAGAGATGTAACAACATGTGCATGGAAAAGGACAACGATAGAGTGAGAAGAGTAGAAAGTAGCAAGTATAGGGATAGGGCACTCTAGGGCAGCTGGAGTAGGGAAAACAAAAAGTACTCAGAGGGATAACCTACCTCTGACATCTGGTGAAGAAGGATGGTAGATTGGATCAATCAATCTCAGTGTTGCAGTGGTAGCAGGAGGAAGTGGCCAGGTGGGAAAAAGTTGTCAGTTTTAACGAGGGGATTGGAGTAGGAGAGAAAGGTGTAATGAGTTCAAAGTAAGAAAGACAGTTCTCTCAGGTAGATAGTGGATGAGCAGAGTTAGGAATAAGTCAGCTCCAGAGCAGGAAATAACAGGTTTTTAGAGCAGTGCTCCCCTTTAATCCCTTAATCCCCAGCCCTCCAGTTTCTATTAGTCTTGACCTCTTTTTGTCAAGTTGGAAGTGTTTAATAAATGCTAACTAACTGTAGTAGAATATGTTTTCCCTTTTCTTACTAAACCTTCTGGTTCTTTTAGTACTAAATTCTATCCCTATAATTTATTGGAAAATTCTTCATTCTAGTCCACTCTCACAAAGATGACTTTAAGGTCTCTGAGTCTGGAAGGTTCTCTGTTCAAATATTTTGCCCATTTTCTTATTGAGATATTTGTTTTCTTAATATTGAGTTTCAGAGTTCTTCATATTTTGGATTCCAGTCCATTTGCAAACATTTTTTCTTAGTCTGTGGCTTGTCTTTTTCATCTTAACAATCTCTTTTGAAGAGTTTTTAAATTTGATGAAGATCAGTTTATCATTACTGTCATTTTATGATTCATCTTTTCAATGTTATAACTCACTCTGTCATGAAGATTTTCTCTTCTGTTTTATTTTGTAGAAAGTTGTGCATTTTGAAGATTTACATCTAGGTCTATGATCCATGTAGAACTAAATTTTTTATATGATGGAAGGTATGATTGCAAGTGTTTCGTTTTTGCTTTTGCATATGGTTATCCAATTGTTCAGCATAATTTTTTAAAAAGAATATCCTTTCTCCACTGAATTGCCTTTGCGCCTTGGTCAAAAATCAGTTGTTCATATATTTGTGAGTCTTTTTTTTTACTCTAGTCAGTACTTTTGCTCTATCTTTGTTTAGGCTCATTGTTTTTTAAATGGAATAACTAGAATCACTCTTCTCAGCTAGTTAGCTTATAATCAGAGGGTTACTTACATATAAAACTTGGATTTTTAAAAAATTAATAGAAATTTTCATTTTTCAGTTATAGTTATTTCAGGTGTATGACATAGTGATTAGATATCTATATAACTCACAAAGTGATCACCCCAATAAATCTCGTGCCCCTCTGACACCATACATGGTTATTACAATATTATTTGCTATATTCCTTATGCTGTACTTTCTATCTCCATGACTATTTTGTAACTACCAGTTTGTACTTCTTAATCCCTTCCCCCTTTTTCACTGGCCCCACTAACCCCCTTTTCATCTGGTAATCCTCAAAATGTTCTCTGTATTTATGAGTTTGTTTCTGTCTGTTTATTTTGTTCTTTAGATTCCACATATATGTGCAATCATATGGCATTTTCTTTTTCTATCTGACTTGTTCCATCAGCACACTACCCTCTAGCCCCATCATGATCTTTTTCCGTCCGATTACTTTTATTCTGTATGTGTCTTTTAATCTGAAATGAGTCTCTTGTTGGCAGCATATGTAAGAGTCTTGTTTTCTTATCCGTTCAGCTGCCCCATCTTTTGATTGGAGCATTTAATTCTTTTTCATTTGAAGTGCTCGATGATAGATATGTAGTTATCGCCATTCTTTATTTTAGACTTTTGATACAATTTTTTTCTTCTTCTTGAAGAAGTCCCTCCAGCATTTTCTGTAATACCGACTTGGTGGTGATGAACTCCTTCAGCTGCTTCTTGTCTGAGAAGCTTTTTATTTGTATTTCAATTCTAAATGATAACTTTGCTGGATATAGTAATCTTTGTTGTAGGTCCTGGATTTTCATCACTTTGAATATGTTATGCCAAGCCCTGCTGGCCTGTAAAGTTTCTATTGAGAAATCGGCTGTTGGTCTTATGGATGCTCCCTTATGTGTAACTAATTGCTTTTCTTTTGCTGCTTTTGGCATTTTAATTATGGTGTGTCTTGGTGTAGATGTCTTTGAGTTTGTCTTGTTTAGAACTCTCTGAACTTCCTGGGTTTATATATCTATTTCCCTCATCAAGTTAAGGAAGTTTTCCATCATTTCTTCAAATAGGTTTTAAATTCTTTGCTCTCTCTCTTCTCCTTCTCGTACCCCTCTGATGTGAATGTTGTTATGCTTGATGTTGTTCCAGAGGCTTCTTAAACTATCTTCATTTTGGGGGGGATTCTTTTTTCTTGTTGCTGTTCTGATTGAGTGTCCTCTGCTACTCCATCATCTATGTCACTGATTCAGTCCTCCGTTTCATCCACTCTGTTGATTCCTTTAATGTACTCTTCTCTCAGATATTGTATTCTTCATTTCTGACTGGTTCCCTATTATGTTTTCCATCCCTATTTTCATCTTTTTAAAATCTCTTTGATAAAGTTCTCACTGAGTTCATCTAAGTCCTCCCCTAAGTTCCTTGAGCATCTTCATAACCAGTGTTTTGAACTCTATATCTGGTATACTGCTTGTCTCCATTTTGATTAATTCTTTTTCTGGAGCTTTTTTCTGTTCTTTCATGTGGAACATGCTTCCTTGTCTCCCCGCTTTGGCTGCCTCCCTGTATCTGTTTTGATGTGTTAGGTAGGGCTTCTTAGTCTCCTGGTCTTAGTAGAGTGGCTTTCTGTGGGAGGTGTGCTGTAGAGCCCCTTGACACAGACCTGGGAGAGGTTCAACTGCAGGCCAAGTTCAGCCACAGCCTGTGCACCTCTGGGGGCCACCTGTTAAGAGTTACCAGGCAATTTGCATATGACTGATACTCATGCTGGGCTTATAGGTGCCTCAAGGGGCCAAGTCAGAAACGGAGGCTGGCTGCCACTAGTGCAGGGTCTAGGGCTGCTCAGCAAGAGGTACAGGACACACCAAGGCCAGATGCTGCTGCTTTTGGTTTTGTAAGCCTTTGAGAGTTTTTATGAAAGTTCTCCCCGGGAACCAAGATAGCCTGTTGTAAGGAATAAATCATGGAAGTAGCTTTATTGGGCCCACAAGTTGGAAGAGGCAGAGTCTCAGGGAATACCCTGGGTAGAGAAACCTGTGTTATCTAGGTTGATGGCACCTGTGTCTGCATGATGGGAGCGGGGAGGGCTCAACAAAGGAAGAGTGGCTTCTGCCTGCACCTCTGTCCGGGAGCAAGGCTCCAGCCCTTGCCCTGATACCCAGCAGCTCAGTGTCTCCCTGTATGTCCCCGGCACCCCTTGAGCAGCTGCCCCAGCGCTGGAGCTCAGAGTGAGGAAGTCCATTAGCAAGTAAGGCCAGGCATTGGTCCTTTAAGAGGAAGGTCTCTGCTTTCCACAACCTTCTGTCTCACTTAGCTGCAACCTTCTCTGGTTTTCACAGCCTGAGGTTGTGGAGACTTCTCTTCCTGGCACTGGTTGCAGAGCGCAGTATGCAGCCAGGACCCCTTGCTCCTCAAGTAGGGGAAGCTCTGCAGACAGCATAACCCTCCCGATTCTCGATCACCACACACGATTGTGAGACCGGGCTGTTTTGCCACTCCGCCCCTCCTACCTTTTTGAGGGGAACTGTTATTTGAAGTGACCTAGTTTTAGGGCTTCTGTTCAGCCAGACCTCTGGCATCTCCATGTGTTGGTTGCTGTATAGTTATAATTTTGGTGTGATTGCTAGAGGTGACATGTACAGCCTCTACCTTCTACACCATCTTGAATTGTGTCTCAAAACTTGGATTTTTGAGTCAAAAATCACAACTGAGCCAAAGTAGGGGAGGAATTAGTTATAAAACTATGAAAAATAATAGAAAAGGATTATAATGTATTTTCTCTATATTAAAAACATAATTATTGTCTAAGATTGAAGTTAAAATGATTTACAAATAATAGTTTGCCTTTTCAGTTGTATGTGGAGATAATGTTACATTTTTAGCATACTACTGTACATACATTTCTACAAATTTGAATTCTTAGGATTTCAAGCTTGTTTACTATTAAAACATTTTACTCTTTTTGTTTATTCTACAGGACTAAGTTTGCAACATGATATTACCAGTTCTATTCTGAGCTATTCAGTCACAGACTCTTATACAGAATGCAAAAGTTCTGAGGAGAATTTAAGTAGCTTCTCATCACCCGAACTCTTCAGAGGATCAGATTATTCTGGTGAGAAAATAATTTCAATCCTAAATTGCTCCACTCTATAAATTGTTCCTTTGTCTACAAATCCTGTAATGGATATTTTTTTTTTTTTTTGAGAAGGTGTGCTTGTCTTCCTCACCAAAACCTCCTTTTCACTCTTTGGCTTTGGAGTTGGTCATGTGACTTGCTTTGGCACTAGGATATCAGTAAATAAAACATATGCAAACCTTTGAAATATGCTTACATGGTTGGACTTGTCCTGTTATACTTTTGCCATCATGAGAAGAATATATCTTAATTAGAATATATCCCATTCAGAGAAGGACCTCAGAATGAGAAGTACAGAGCAGAATAGCCCCAGGCAAACTGTAGAGCACAAAGAGCTGCCCCAGTTGATTATCAGACCTGTAATATGAAGCAGAGCTGTGCGAGCCAACCAGAAGACATGGGAATAAGAAATAAATGCTTTCACTTTATGCTACTGAGATTTTGAGGTTATTTATTACACAGAAAACTTCTTTGGGTACTATATTGAACACAGAAGAAGGGTAATTAAATTAAATTGTACATTCTAAATTGCGAGGCCTGATCACCCAATACCTGCTTGTTCCTATCCCAGCCCTATAGCCTGTTTCTCTGCTCAGTTTCCAGAAGACTGGCACCCAGACTTGAACTTTCCAGTCAGGGGAATGGAAGATATTTTCCTGAGGAATCTGAGCAACCCTAAAGAAAAAAATCTGAAGATATTGACCTCAGTAGTTCTTCAATGAAACTGACAAGAACACACAAATTTTAAAAAGAATCGAACAGAAATCAAGTAAACTAACTATGTGACAAGCCACAAGCAGGCCACTGAAATTCCAGAACAGAGAGCCAAGGATCACCAGACTTCTGAGGAAAGCCTCTAACATGAAACAGATCAAAACGAAGCAAAATACGGGAGTGACATCAGAAAGATATTGGCATAGGAAGCCCTGTACCCTCCTTCCCTCATGGACACACCAGTTCAACAGCAATATATGTACTAATTCCATTTGTGAGAAATCTAGAAACAAGTTGAGGAGCTTCTGAACCCCACGCAAGAATGAAATAAGCTACATCAAAGCCAGAAGGAAAATTCAGGACACTTCTTACCATAAACACTACCCTCAGCATAATGCCTTATAGTTGGCAGCAAATTCCCAGCTCCCAGCTTCTCCCTGGAGAAGGAAAGAAAGGACTGAGCTATATGTCAAATATTTTAAATTTTCTGGGAGCTACCTAAAAGATTGCATACTGTCTTGCCTGTTCCAGAGTGCTGATGGGACCTTATATACTCTAGAACCCTGATGGGTGCTGAGAACAAAGATAGTAGTTCAGTCTAGCATGCAAGTATTCACTAGATCTCAGCTTCTCTCTGAGAAGGGGAAGAGTTGGACTGTGTGTTGGACATTTTGGGGGGCTGCCGAAGGAAATAGCTTTCATATCACTTGTCTCAGAGCACTGATGGGACCTGGTATACTCTAGATAACCTGGTGGCTACTAAGAATAAGGATGGTGGTTTGAACTAGGAAGAAGGTTTAAGAGGATACCAGAATTTCTGGTTGGGCTGTTTGGTGAGAGTGTTCTGTTTGAGGGCAGTCCGTGAAGACTATGAGAGGTGGCTGTTTTTTCTAATATGCAGATACTAACACAAAGAATCAAAGAAAAAGAAGAAACAAGGAAACATAATCCAAAAAAAGGAACAAGATAAAGCTCCAGAAACTGACCATGATTAAATAGAAATATATAAATTATCTAACAGAGAATTCAAAATAATCATCATTAAGATGATCAGTGAGCTCAGGAAAACAATGCTTGAAAGAAGTGAGAATTTCAAGAATGGAGTAGAAAATTTTAAAAAGAAACAGAAATCTTAGAGCTAAGGAATGCTATAACTGAACTGAAAAAAATAAAAGGGTTCGACATTGGACTAGATCAAGCAGAAGATAGAACTAGCAAACTCAGAGACTGGTCATTTGAAATTATCCAGTCAAAAGAACCTCAAATAAGATGAACCCAAGAAATCTACACTGGGATACATAAAGAAATTGTCAAATGTCAAGCAGAGAATTTTGAAAGCATCAATAGAAAAGTGACTTAATGTGTACAAGGGAACCCCCATTAGACTGTCAATGGATTTCTCAGCAGAAACCTTGCAGGCCAGAAGGTAGTGGAATGATATAGTCAAGGTGCAGAAAGCAAAAACCTGTTAACCAAGAATGCTATAACCAGCAAAACTATCCTTAAAAAATGAAGACGAGATAAGGACCTTCCTAAACAAAAGCTGAAGGGGTTAGTCATCACTAGATGTGACTGACAAGAAATGTTAAAGGGAGTTCTTCAAGATGAAACGGAAGACTCTAAACAGCAGCATAAAAGCATATTCAAAGCATAAAACTCCCTGGTAAGTATGTAGATAAATACAGAATACTTAATATGGTAACAGTGCTGTATAAATCACTTTTAATTCTAGTATAAAATTTTAAAAAGTGTTAAAAATAACTACAACTATAAAAATGTTAATGGGTATATAATATAAAAGATGTAAATTGTAACATCAATAACAAAGTGTGCATGTAGAGAGAAGTGAAAATAGAGTTTTTGTGGATGATTAAAGTTGTTATTAGCTTAAAAATAGACCATTAAAACTATGTTTTATATTTAAGGTCCATTGTAAGCACAAAGTGAATACCTATAGAAGATAAACAAAAGAAAAATAGAAATTCATCAAAACATCAATATAAAAAATCAATAAAACATGAAAATGGCAAGAGAGGAAAAGAGGGGCAAAAAGACTACAAAAACAATTATAGAAAACAATTAACAAAATGCTACTAGTAAGTCCTTTCCTATAATAATTACTTTAAATGTAAGTGGATTAACCTCCAATCAAAAGACAGTGGCTGAATGAATGAAAAAAAAAACCAAGATCCAGCTATATACTGTCTGCAGAAGACTCACTTTAGGTTTAAGGACACACATACGCTGAAAGTGAAGGGATAGAACAAGACTTTCCATGCAAATTGTGACCAAAAGATAGCAGAAATGGCTAAACTTAGGTAAAATTGACAGTAAGTCAGAAACTGTCACAAAGATAAAGAAAGACATTGTATAGTGATAAAAAGGTCAATTCATCAGGAACATATAACAATTATAAATATGCACCTAACATCAGAGTATTTAACATATAAAGCAATCACTGACATAACTTATGGCAGAAATAGGCAGCAGTAAAATAAAGGACATTTCAGTACCCCCGCCTTCAATAATGGATAAATATCTAGATAATAAATTAACATTTCTTAATTTCAAAATATATTGTAAATTATATTTTGCAGTAATTATAATAGTATGGTATTGGTATAAAGACATATAGATAAGTAGAATAGAGAAGTAAATCCATGTTTATGTGGTTACCTGATCCTTGAAAAGGATGGCAAGAATACACAATGGGGAAATAATAGTCTCTTCAACAAATGATGTTGGGAAACTGGTTATCAACATACAAAGAATGAAATTGGACCCTTACCTTACACCATACACAAAATCAACCTTAAAGATTTAAACATAAGACCAGAAACTAAAACTCCTGGAAAAAACACAATAGCCAAGAGCAGAGACAATTTAAGTATCCATCAATAGATCAATGGATAAAGAAAATATGATATATACATATAATGGAATATTATTCAACCTTAAAAAAAAGTAGGAGATCCTGCCATGTATGACAACATGGATGAACCTTGAGGACATTATGCTAAGTGAAATAAGCCAGTCTTGGAAAGACAAATACTATATGATTCCATTTATATGAGATTTCTAAAATAGTCAAACACAGAAGTAGAGAATAGAATGTTGGTTGCCAGGGCCAAGGTAGAGGGGGAAATGGGGAGTTGCTATTCAACAGGCCTAAAGTTTCAGCTATGCAAGATGAATAAGTTCTAGAGATCTGCTGTACAATATCGTACCCATAGTTAACAAATTGTATTATACACTTAAAAATTTAAAAGGATAGGTCTCATGTTAAGTATTCCTACCACAATAAAATAAAATATTAAAAAGTAAAAGAAACCAGGCAGAAACACAAGGAGAGGTAGATATTGAAAAAAAGTCTTCATCGAGATAAGAAAATATATGCTGCATCCATTAAATAGGAATAAGATGCTATAAAAAAGGGACTGTTGAGAGAACAAATACAGTAGCAGAATGGAAAACTCTGTAGAAGGGTTATAAGATAAGTCTGAGGAGATTTCCCAGAAAAAAAAGAGAAAAAAATCAAAGAGAAAAGATTGCAATTTGGAGAAGAAAGATTAGTTAGAGAAGTAGTATGCGAAATCAATATCAAATAATAGGAGTTTGAGAAAAACATAATGAAATAAACAGGGAAGAAAATTATCAAATATATAATTCAAGAACATTTTCTAGAGCTAAAGGATATGATTTCTGGGTTAAAATGGCCCACAGTATGCCTAGCACAATAGATGAAAAACACCAAGATAGAATATTATGAAACTTCAGAACATCAGTGAATGGAATAAATAGAAAGGATTCATACAATTTGTTGGAGTTTGGGATTAAATAGATAAAAAAATACAGAGAAAACCAAACAAAAGGGCTTTTCTGACTCCAGGAAAAACAAAAGGTGGTCATGGTATACTACATGAATGAATAGCATTTTTATAGCAATTTACCATCATAATGTCTACATTGAATGTTGATCTAACTAAATATGTGATATAATAGTATAAGGGCAATGGGAAGTGTGGGAAAGATGGGAGCGAGGGGATATAAGAGAATAGCTTCATTATTCCATAGTGGAAAGTCAATGGAAAGCTTAAAACTGACATCAAGTGATAGCAATATGTTATTTAGTGATATGATAGTTAATGGGACACAGGTATGAGTTATACATAAAATATGAGAGGCAGCTCCCATGTGTGCTATCTGTCCCTTAGATCAATAATCTTCATGAGGCAAAAATCTGTAAAAGAAAATGGATTAAAGCACCAGTATAAGTCAAAGATTATTTACTATCCTGATGCCATCAAGGTTTGTCTTTTTTCTCTCTCTTACCCAAAACTTTCTTCAATTATCATAACTGGGTATGGGCCGGGGACCTAAGTTGGAATGGGTAAAGGTAACCTGCCACTTGTGTGCTGTTGTTCAAAGTTTTGTGCCATTTCTCACTACTTTTTTAGATTGGGAGTGTCCCAAGTTGGAGGAACACATGCAGTACAAGAATTCCACTCTTTTGGATACCAGTAAAGCAGTAGCAATAGAGAAGGCACCACAGTTTTCAAATCTGTCTTCAATTTTAGGTGAGTTTTCACATTGTTTTTCTCATATCACAGGGAACCCCACCCCTCCATCACTTGATTAAGATAGTGTCTGCTGATTTTCTCTACCAGAAAGTTACTAGTTTCTCTTTGTAGGTAATAAATATCTAGAAAAAGACATTGAAATTCTATAAATCTTGTCTCTCCTCAAACTTTCGTTCACTGGTATTACCAGTTGTCAGAGAAACTTGACAACAGTTACTGCTGTGGTGTTCATCTGATGGTGCTTTTTCTACTTCATTCTTTCCTGTTATATTTATTAATTGGAATTCTACTGTAAAAGAACTGTCTCTTTTCTGCCATTTATTCAGTTATTTATATCAGTATAAACTTGTGTATTTTTATTTTATTGGTTAAAATCCAATACTTTTATTATTTATTTACTTATTTATTTAATTCTAGTACACACATAAAGAAGTGTTAGAATTGTTAAGCCAGATCTCTGTGAGAAACACACTTATTAAATAGATAAAGCAATTATGTATATTTCTTTTTGTCTTTAGCATTACAGCATCCAATCAAAATACTATTTTCCAAAGTTACATAGGTTAGTTCTTTTCTTCCTCTCCCTGTTGAGTACAGTTGTTATTCACTTTTCTTTTTAATTTAATACAGGCATACCTTGTTTTATTGCACTTCACTTTATTGTACTTCACAGATGTTGACGTTAGTTAATAAAATTATATAGATTTCAAGTGTACAGTTCAATAATACATGATATGTATATTGCATTGTGTTATTCACTTAATATAGTTAGATTTATGTATGTGTTAGTGTTGGATTTAATTTTTGGTTCCCCCTATCCCGTTTTGTTTATTTATTTGGAAAAAGGGAGCTATGTGAAGGTATGTGAAACATTACTATGGTTCTAAGAGTCATAGCTATACAAAAAAATATTCTCATCAAAGTATTGCTTCCTCCTTCTTCCTTTCCGGATGGCAGTATTTCTAACAGTGTATGAAGACCTTGTCTTTTGTGTTACGTTTAATTTGGCAACTTCTTTGCTGATATAAGTGCCCCCAAGAAATAGTTTCTCTTTAGCAAGTATTTCAATTAGGTTCTTTGTCCGCTGCAAATGAAAAAAAAATCTGCCTCAAACTATATTAGGTTTAACAGGGCATTTATTACCACATGTACTTGAAAAATTCAGTAGTAAATTATAGGCACATACAACTTGATCCAGGGTTTCAAATGATATCAGCAGGGCCCAATTCCTTTCCATCTTTCAGCTCAGGATCCCTTTGTGTCAGTTATACTCTCAGCCAAGATCCCTTTCTGTAGCAACCCTTTTTAGCTCCAGGCTTATATGCTCACAGCCTCACAGTCAATGGACTAAGTGCTTCTTTTTCCCAACGATTTGAATAAAAGTCCTGAGTCTTACACATTGACTTAAATTAATTCATATGCCTATCCCTGAACAGTAATTTTGGCCAGGACGATAAAGGGCTCTTACTGCATTGAGTCACAGGCCATGTCTGGACCATCCAGAGAAAAAACAGGAAACTGTTATCAGCAAAAACAGAATAGATGCTGTTCGATAAGTATCCACCACAGTCCTTTATGTTTTTGGAACCTCTCTTTCAGGGAAATGGTTTGCAAGTATTGGAAGGCACCATTCACTTCACTTTCACTTCACTTGGGATTTTTAATTCTAACTTAATGTAAGCAGAGTTCTGCAGCTGCTGAGGGTTATAACTCAGAAGACTACACCATAGTCCTTTACGTTCCAAGTAATAGCCTAGTGTACCTAAGCAGTAACATGTTGACTGGTAGGCATTCTCTTGACTAATAGATCTAACATGTATCTATATATTTAGTTCTAGACTAAGAGCCATGAGACCTGAGTTTAAGTCCCAGGTACACAGCTGTCAGCCTTACAACTTTATTAGTTTTATTTTTCTCATATGTAAAATGGGGATAGTAAAATGGTGTTTTCTTCACAGGGTTTTTGTAAGAATTACGTAAGATAATAGATATAAAAGGACTTCAAAAATTACAAAGAACTATCCAAATACAAGGTGGTAGATTCCTGCATGTCATGAAATTTTTCAATAATTTTATTTTTGTATTTTAAAAATATTTTTACTAATTAAAGTGGCAGACATACATAAAAAACATAAAACAATAAAAATAAAAAATAATCTGTACTATCACCATGTATTTTAGAGGAAATATTTATTTTTACTTAGAGTAATTTTAGACTCTGGTCTGTGTTTGAATTGTATTTCTGATTGGTTGGTATTTTTCCTTTCCTAGATACCTCTTCAGAAGACTATGAAAAACAACATAGAAAAATGTAAGAACTAGTATTTTAAAACTTGTGCTTTTCAAAACCCTGTGTTCTAGTAATTATATAGAAGATGTGATTGTTGGCCCCAAATTCAGGTATTCATTTATTCAATATTTGTTGAGGACTCACTATGTGTCAGAACTCTTCTAATTGCTGGAGATACATAGTAATGAGTGAAACTGATTAAAAGCAAAATCTCTGTCTTCCTTGAGTCCACAGTCTAGTTGGAAGATATGAACAATAAACAAATAAGCAAGTAAATTTATACTGTTCTATATGGTGATGAATTCTATAGAGAAAAATAAAGCAAGATTGGGGGCTAAAGAGTATTGGAATAGAGGTTTGCTATTTTAAGTAGTGTGGTGAAAGAAGCCATTGTTGAAAAGGTAGAATTGGAGCAGAGGCCTAGAGAAGACAAACACATTGTGTAAGTCCCTCGGGAAAAGAGCATTCCACATGGAGGGTATGGCTGGATCAAGACCCTGAGGCAAGAAGGTCTAGGCTTCTCGAGTGGGGTGAGGGAAGAGGAGGGAGGTAGGGGATGAGGGAAGAAGCAGGAGACCAGATCATATAAGGGTATTATAGATGAGTATAAGTGAATTGGAGAGCCTTTGAAGAATTTAGAAGGATGCTATGATATGACTTATGTCTTAAAAGAAACACCATGACTGCTGTGTTGAGAATAAACTATAAGGAAACAAGGAATTAGGGAGATTATAGTTAGGAGACTATTGCCTAATCTGCACAAGAGATATGGTAAGATGTGGTAAGAGTAGAGGTAGTGAGAGGTCAGACTTTGGGTATATTTTGAAGGCAGAACTAACAGGATCTGTTGATGAACTGAATATTGGAGCATGAAAGTACTCAAGGCTGACTCCACAGCTTTGTCTTGAGCATCTGGAAGGACGGAGTTGCCATTTATTAAGATAGGGAAGACTGAGGAGAAACATATTACTGGGGAAAGATTGAGTTTGATTTGGGGTATGTAAACTGAAGGGTAAGGCATATGTGAGAGAGATGGTATGTAAATTCAAGGACGTGGTCACAGTCTGGATCATGAATGGCTTCAAGGCTTGGATTTTTGTTTCTTTCTGAATGTGATGGGAACCTCTGAAAAATTTTCAGTAGTTCTATAAAATATAATGACATTTTTTAACACCTTAATCTTAAAAGATTGAAGGAACTTATAAAAAATTCATAGAAGTTTAAAAACAGTCAGTAGACATATAGAAAGTGAAAAAGCATTCTATAGAATGGGAGAAAATATTTGCAAATCATGTACTTGATAAAGGACTTGTATCTAGAAGATACAAAGAACTCTTACAACTCTACAATAAAAGGACAAATAATCCCATTTAAAAACAGGCAAAGGAACTGAACTGACATTTCTCTATAGAAGATATATAGACGGCCAGTAAGCACATGAAATGATGCTCGATATCTTATCCATTAGGGAAATGCACAATTCAGC